TTCTCTTTGAAAGAAAGATGCATTCAATCAAAATATCTCCAAGCTTCTAATTGTGCTAAATGAATGACCTCATTTATATCACCACAACATTTTAGATGCTGTCATGTGCGTAGTTGTTTTTGGAGACATATATAGCTTTTGAACATGAGGTATAATTGGCAAGTACCAAAGAGAATTCCTTAAAATGTCCTTTTGTCTTTTCCTCTCTTAGTTTCTTTGTTTATACCTTACTTCTCCACAAATTGAGCATATAGTCAATGCCTTTGTATGCTCCTCATAATATAAAAATTAGTTGTTAATATGAGTATCAATTTTTAAATTACCCAAACCAAGCCCTTTCATAATTTTTTTACTTCATAAAAGTTTTAAGAACTTTTTTTTGATCTTTGCACTTAACAGCCTCCTACATCCTTTGACAATGGCATTAAAATCACCACCAATTAAATTATTCACAATCTTAGTGTGCAACATATAGTAGAGCCAGCAGAGCATCGTCTCATTTTTTGCTAAAATTACAAAACGATATTGTAGATGCATGAAGCAAGTCATAAAATCCCTTTGTTTGATTGTTGAATTTCTTGTCTAGATGTTGATTAGGGAAATTAGCTTTCATTTCTTGATAATCATCATCCTCTAGACAAAATGCATCATACACCATCTCACGAAAGTCATTCCTTTCATCATGGTGCACATCTCGGCTGTACAATGATGTGCTCAGATTAGCAGCAAACCATGGATCTACTAAATTCATAAACATCTCACCATGCACCCACCAAACAGAATAAGCAATCATAAAACCATTCACAATAATATGATTTCATATCATTCCTCAAGTCATCAATAGTAAATTAAAGCATTTACTACAAGGATATTTGATTGTATCATATATTCAAATTGAAGGAAATATTCAACTCCATTGTAGAACTCCTCATGTATTTCTCCTCAAGGAGTTTAATGTCTATACATTCAACTATGATGATACATAATCTTATTAAATTAATGATACAAAAATAACATGACTAGTCTCAAAACAATTATAATATCTTTCACATATTTTATAATTTATTTATTAAGTTAATATATGAACATGTTAAATTCATTCATCAACAAAATTTTTCATAAATAAATTATTGAATTTTTATTTAACAAAAAATAAATATTTAACCATACAATTAAAAAAATATAGTGAAAATGAAACTTACTATATAATGAGGATCTATGAAGTAAAATATTAACCTACAAAAATAATTATTAATTTATTAATTTATATATATTTTCACCAAAAGGTTTAGTTATATATCACATTAAATTATAGAAATTGCATTTAAAAATAAAATAATACACTTAAAATTGATATAATAGCAAAATAAGACCAGTTATTTTAAGACGGGTGATGGATGGGATAATTGGGAGTGAACAATCTACTTTTATTGGAGGAAGGTAGTTAATGGATGGTGTTATAATAGCAAATGAAATTGTAGATGAGGTGAAAAAGTAAAGGAGGAGCTGCATCATTTTTAAGGTAGATTTCGAGAAGGCATACGATAAGGTAAGTGGGAACTTCTTAATTTATATGCTGGAGAGAATGGCTTGCTACCAAGTTTAGAGAAATTAGATTCATGAATGCCTCAAGATGAATTTGGTATTATTGCTGGTAATGGGAGTCCAACAGGGGAATTTGTAATGAGTAAAGGGTTGAGGCAAGGTGATCCACTCTCTCCCCTTTTATTCCTTATAGTTGTAGAAGGTCTTAATAGCATCATGAGATCTACAATGGGTTTAAACTTGTTCAAAGGAGCTCCAATTGGTAGGAAGGAATACCATGTATCCCATTTGCAATTTGTGGACAACACAATTATTTTTGTGGTGACAATTGAGCAAAATGTGTGAGCTTTAAAATATATCTTGAGAACTTGAGAACTGGTTTTAGGCTTGAAGATAAACTATTGTAAAAGCAAGTTGATGGGAATCAATACGGAGTATGATTGGCTTGTAAAAATGGCAAGAGTCCTACATTGTGAAGTGGGCAAAATCCTTTTATTTATATAGGGATTCCAATTGGAGCAAATTTGATGAGAATGACATCTTAGAGGTTTCTAATAGAAAATTTCAAAAATAAGTTGGCATCTTAGAAGTCACAACTACTTTCTTTGGGTGGACGAATCACCCTATTAAACTCTCTACTTTCTAATATTCCCATCTTTCTCATAGCTAGGTACCTTATTCCAAAAAATGTGATTAAAATGATAGATTCAATTAGGAGAGGATTCTTGTGGGGGGTTATGAGGATAGAAATAAGCTTTGTTGGGTGAAGTGAGAGAATATATATAAAGAAAAGCTGGTAGGGGGTTTAGGAGCGTTGTTTTTGGACCCGACCCAGCTCGGCTGATTGAACCGGTTCAATCAGACCTGGGCCTGAAAACGGGTCGATTGAAGACTTCAGCCCGTTTAGTTAAATGACCCGTTGAAACCTACCCCACTCGTCATGCCTGCTGTACTCGTGTGACCTGCTACAACCAGCCGGGCTGAATTTCATCATCTTTTTTTAACTTAAATTAAAAATCAATCAAACTAAAAACCCTAAGATGATCGGCAAAGTGGGAAACAAATTAACATTGCTAATTGCAAAACCCAGAACCAACAGAACTACAGAAGGACAAATCTTCTCTTCCACTGATCGTCTCCTCCGTCGTTGCCCTTCTTCTCTTTCGCCGATCGTCTTCATCTACCTCATCTACTTCATCTGTTCTATTCAAAACAGAATAGATCGTCTTCGTCTACCTTATCTCCTCTGTTGAGCACCTCTTCTTCATCTCCTCTGTCGACTGCTGATCACCTTCTTCTCTTTCCTTCACTGAACTGAAACAACAAAGCAAAACAAAAGTTACACTATTACAGAATAGATCATCTCCTCCATCACTACCTTCCTTCTCTTCCTCATCTCCGCTATCTTCTCTTGCTCCATCAAACAGAAGCATCAACAGAAATCAGAATCTTCTCAAAACAAATGAATTAGTAATGATACTTTATCTATTTAACTTTTGTTTTTGTTATGGATTTGGTTTGAGATTTTTTTTTTATATATATTCAAGACTTATTTTGTAGTGGATTTGTGAATTAGGTTAGTGATTTTTTTTATATTTAGTATTTATTTTGTAGTAAATTTAGTTTAAGATTGATTTCTTCATTATTATCATAGTGAACTTATCTTATATGTATTTTAATATTTGTTAGTTTTGATTTTAAAAATTATATGTATTTAATTCAATTTATTATTTTAAATTGCTTAAATGATGATTTTCAAGTTGATCTTATGATGATTATTTCTTAAAAATAGAGTGAAAGTAATATACAAAAGTAAAATTTAATAAAAATGTTAAAAATGTTTTTTTTAGTTGACCGGTTGAACTGGTCGGGTGAATCGGTTCAATCGGTTGAACCAAACCCGATGGTCAAAAGAGGCCAACCACCGGGCCGAGCCCAAAAACATTGTTCAGGAGTACAAAATCTATGAAGAATTTGATCCCAGCTAGTAAAGCATTTCATAATAGACTATGCAAACAGTTAACACACAATAATCATTATGGTTTTTGCTACCAAAAAGAATCTGAAAAAAAAAAAAAAAAAAAAAAAAGCTAAGGCAACATGTGACGAAGGAACCACTTCCTCAGATAGTGAACAGGATCTCATCATCCTATGAAGAACCCAATGTAAGAAGATGTAAGTTCTTGCGTCAATAAAGAAAAGATTTTATGTAATTTGCTTTAGCAAAAGTAGGAAGTAAGTCAGAACAACCAAACAATAATGTAAACTTTAAACATCAATAATGATGATAGAAAAGATTCCAAGAAGTACTATAAAAAGCCTTATATAAGCTATAATGGGTATCGAGCATTTGAAAACCCAAATACCTTACTTGAAAGCCTTTTACCATGCATATGTAAACACCCTTCAAGAGGAAAAGGGAGCTTTTCCTTTCTTTTCTCAGAAATAAAAAAAATGTTTTAGAATAATTTTTGTGTTTCTATCCCTCCTTATTTCCATCATAAAATACAATCAGAAGAATTCCTAAAAAAACTAAAGCAATAGTGAAGTTACTTATCCTGTCTAAATACCTATTGTAGCTTGAGTGTGGCATTGAGGGTTAAAAGAAAGAAGCATTAGCTTGACCGAAGGCTAGACTAAAAGGTTTTTAGGAAAATTTCTAACTCATTTATTTTATCATGTGGAAGCAAGGTGGGCATAGAAACAGCGTGGGCATAGAAACAGCTTTACTATTCTTTAACGTTAGATTATTTTTTAGATTAGAACAATGGGAGAATAGTACCTAACCTCTTATATTTTAAATAGAAAAATCCATTTTTGAAATCAATTCTATATACTATAAGATGCTTGATTTCATTTAGGAAATTGTTGTAGATAATAAAGTTTATGACTATCAATGTGAATAATATAGAAACAAAAAAGTAAACATTTTAGAAAAAAAATAACTAATATTGAAGATGACTATCATCTATTCAAGAATCTAAAAAGGTTGAAGCAAATAGCAGCAGATTTAAATAAAGAACTAAAAAGATTAAAAAAGGCTAAGCAAACATTATCTCTGGTAGTAGTCTAATAGATTTAATTTTGTGTTTATTGAATTTAATATACCAGTTACTCATTAGTCAATAATAATCTAAGTTAGGTTCTGAAAATCCATTAGAAATCTAGTATCAAAACCATAAAAGAATTAAAACACAATGATGTTAATAATGTATTTAAAAAGAGAAGTCAAATTTTGTGAACAATAAAATAGATATAATCTCAAAGATTATAGAAATAAAAGGGATGATCCTTTATAGAACTAATCAATTATTATGGGATAGATATATTCTTGAACTAGGAAGTGCACTAGCTCTGGAAGAATTAAAAATCTTGGCAAGATAAAATAAAAATTAGTTCTAAAACAAACATAAGTTTAGGGACTAAAGTATCAATTCTACAAAAGATGAAGAGTGATGATAAGAGTCAAAACTATGAGAAGTTTGGTCAAAGGGCAAAAACCCTCAAATTCAGTAAGTTAAAGGTAAATAATCTTAACTTATAAATTAAAGAGCAAAAACCCTTAAACTCAAAAATTAAAGGGCAAAACATAGATATACAATCACCTAAATGGTTTGCTAAGGTCCTACTTGATTCCATCAACCATATTGCATAAATAAAGTTGAAACTTGTTACATAACTAGGGAGTTGGAAGTCAATAAATGAAATTGATATTGTTGGAGTGTTTCTTGAGTCAAATATTGTGAACATTGGTAATCTCAACACTGGTTTGATAAGGTCTTACTTAATTTACCTACAATGTTATCATGTCTAAAGTTCTTTAATTCTTTTTTAGGGGAACAAGGATGTTATTTTTTAAGCAAATAAATAAATTAAGTAGTTTATAAGCTAAGTTTTTTTTTTTTTTTTTCTTTAAACCCCAAATGTTAAGATCAATTGATAAGTAAGTGCTATTTTATACGTTAGGTTTAAAATTTAAAACTTGGGACCAAAGTTAATTTTCCTAAATGCAATAGATTGATATTGAGTGTGCGTTTTTAAGATCACTTGAAAAATGATTAATCTTAAAGTATATAAATGAATATGTTGATCTAACCATAAAAACGATTTTTCTTACCTCATCTCCTCTCTACTATTTTTTTGATAGGTTAAATGTTATTTTTAGTACCTAAATTTTTAATTTTAAGTATTTTTAGTTTTTGGACTATTTTCATATTTCTTTCACCCTTGAATTATAAAAAACATATTTTTTTTTAGGCATCAATTAGTCTAATAGGCATATCGTTTATGTAAAATTTTAATTTCTTAAATAAGAACTAAAAATGTATATTGTTTATAATTTAGAGATGAAAAAATGCAAAAAATAGTTGAAGACTAAAAATAGGTGTGGCTATGGCCACCAATTGTCTTATTAAGGCCCCCAACCTCTATTTAAAAAATATTGGTTATGTTTAATTTGATTGTTAAAAATAACTAATAATTAATAGAAAAATTGATATTTATTTCATATTACATTGAAATCAATTTATAAATTAATATATTCATATATTATAACCATCTATTTAAGAAAAAATTATTTACATATTAATCAAATTTTGATAATTTTAACAAAATAAGTAGTGATCATAACCATTCACATTAAAACCATTCAAAATTAAAAATTTAGAACTAAGCCCCATTTAATCTTTCTCTTAAATTCAAGGGTTTTTATGAGCTCTCCTTTTACGGTATAGTTTAATGGTACATTTATTATACTTTGTATTATTAACTTGTATAAAAATTATAAAATTTTTAACATTAATGTTACAATAAACAATTTATTAAATGATTGGTAAACTTAAAATTAATTTTTATTTTTTAATATAAATAAATAAAAAAATTTAGTAAATATACTCTTAATCTTATTTTATAGCTCAAATTAAAAAAATTCCTTAAATAGATTTTAAGAGTTATATTTTTTTCTCAAAAACGTTTTTTTTTCTCAAAGTCTTTTATTTATTTTTTAAAACGAAACTGAAAATATCTCAAAGTCTTTTAAATTTGAGAAAAGAAAAAATTAAAATGTCTTAAAGTCTAATAACAGACATATATAAATTTAATAAAGTTTAAGCGTAAATTATATGTCACATGATTAATAGATGTTATTAGACATTTTATATAACAACAATTTTTTATAAAAAAATGATTTAAAAATAATTTTTTATTAAATTTTTTATAATTTTAGATATTATTTAAATAATTAATTTTTTTATTTATTTAAAATTTATAATATTAAGAATATTTAATGATATATAAAAATTATATAAAAAATAATAACAAAAATTTTTCTATCGCCACCCATTCTTTATTTTTCCTTTCCCTTTAATTTTTATTGAGAAAAAAAAAGTGACGAACGAGAACTTTGGCAATGGCGCTCTTCGTGTCACCAATCAGATGGTGACTACAATCAAGGGAAAGTAATGACGGTGTCAATATTTTTCTGTAATGACGTAGCATCCTCTTAGTAATCACCGCCTACGGCTACGAGGTTGCCCTACGAATCTCAAGAACACTTACTCTTCCCCACAGACCAAACGGTGCGCTGGCAGATTGAAGAGTTACTGAGTTAGGAGGAATGGGGAGCCACGTTAACGGCGTGGCTGGCGGCGGAGGAGGAGGAGGAGGATGCAGCAGCAGTAGCAGCAGCAATGGAGTGGTGGACAAGGGAGTTGATTTCGCGCGGTATTTCTGCACCTACGCTTTTCTCTATCACCAGAAGGACATGCTCTGCGATCGGATTCGCACGGACGCCTACATCACTGCGATTTTTAAGAACAAGCATCACTTCCATGGAAAGGTAAGCCTTTTCTTACTAATTCAAATCGAAAATTGAATTCATTTAGCTAGGTGCTTGTTTGCCTGAACAAGTATTACTTAATTTCTATATGAAGGATGCATGGATTTGAGTATTTCTTTGTTTTCCCTTCCTTCCCATGGGTTAGATTCTGCGTTTTTTGCCCTCAGGGAATATTTTTTAGTCTGACATGTTGGTGTTTCTTATTTTTGAGGATTTGAATCCTTGTTTTAATGGAGAGACAAGAATGCATTGTCTCTAATATACTTCTTGTCCTTATGTTTTTTTTTTCGTGGATTGATTATTTAGTGTATGTTATGATGTGTAGCAATTTGTTAAAAGTGAAATGAGACCAATTTGGATCATTGTGAAGACTGTGTTGGATGTAGGAACAGGAAGCGGCATTCTTGCAATCTGGTCAGCCAAAGCAGGGGCAAGAAAGGTATATGCTGTGGAAGCAACTAAGATGTCTGAGCATGCCTGTACCCTTGTTAAAGCAAACAATCTTCAAAATGTTGTTGAAGTGATTAAGGGCTCTATGGAGGAAGTTGTGCTACCAGAAAAAGGTTGCTGTATTGTATTTTACTTTACTTACCACTACTAAATTCAAATTTGACTTTTCTTCATCACATTTATGCTTTAGGTTTAGTTCATTGAGGGGTTTTGGTTTTTGACTCTAATCCTATAGTTTTGTTGGTTGCAGTTGACGTTATTATATCAGAGTGGATGGGTTACTTTCTCCTGCTTAAGTCCATGTTTGATTCTGTGATTTTTGCTCATGAATGCTGGCTGAAGCCCTCTGGGGTCATTTAAGTAAAAGCTTTTGGATATCTGCTTCACTTGTTTTGTCACAACTTGCAACATTTTTCTGTATGCGTTGTATTTTATCAAATAGGTATTATTATTTATGTTGAAGGGTCTTACCATTTTTTGTCTCCTCTGGACTGCCAAAATGTTTTCAGTTTAATGTGGCCATCCTATACTGCTCTTTGGGTAACTATGGGATTCATACTGCATAATGCTGCTTAAAAGCATCATTCACCAGATTCTTTAATCTGATTTTTGCTATCTGCATTTGCACCCGCATTTAGATTTCCTTCTCCTTGTGTGTCCTACAAGCTGTTAGAATGATTCATGACCATTATCTTTTGTGAAACTTAATTTGGTTTCCTTACCCTATTACTCATAAGTCGTAATGAGAGAGTTTGCCATGATTTGAGATGAGGCTTTGGAAGTACAGTAAAGAACAACTGATGTGGTATTATATGAAGAGCAAGGTGATAACCAACAAGGGTGTTTTTGAATTGTTAAGAGAAATGTTATGCCTTCTAAGTTATGATGTATAGGAAGGCTGGATTATTACAAAGTAAAACCAAGGAACTTTAAGTTGTAACTAATTAATGCACTAGCCAAAGGGGTAAAGCAAGGTTGGGACTGCTATAGGGATGTGAGGGATAGATTCAAATCTTACCTTTCAAATAATGAAAAGGAAATACATCAATAGATAAATAATACCTGTGTGGAGCAATTAGTATTTTTTACAAATTTTCTTGTCTATGTTGATGCTCTTATCTGTCTTTTGCTTGTTCTTGTAATTTTTGTCAGTTCATTAAAAATCTCTATATAATTTCTGGGTCTTTTTAAATTTTTATTTGGCAGACTTCATAGCTGACAAAACAGACTTCGATTTGATAGGTATCCTAGCCATGCACACATGTGGGTGGCACCTATCAGGTCTGGGCTGGGGGAAAAAAAAAAAGGAATGATTATGAAGCAGCAATGGATGATTGGTACAGTTTCCTTAGTGAAACCAAGACTTATTATGGCGTCAATATGGGTGTTTTAACAAAGCCTTTTGAAGACGAACAGAAAAACTATTACCTGCAGGTGAATTCTAGACTTCTTTTGAAAATTGACTTTTCTTGACATTTCTTGAATCATTATTGAAGTTAAACTCCAGCTAGTTGTGTTTTTACCCTACTTCCTCTCTCAGAATGTAATTTATCATTTAAGCAACCTATCTGAGCACACCTTTCTTGTGCACCATTCCAGGCACCTGCCTTTCCTTCCCCTTCCATGAAATGATTAACATGTCAAAAAAAGAAATAGAAAGACCTTTTGAACCTAAAGCATTGAAGCACTAGTTTGTTATTAAGGTAATGTCAGATAAATTCCTTTTGTTGATGTAAATGTGGTCATTAATTTCTTAATCGAGCTAAACTAGGTGATTGGTTGTCTGGTTTGTGTGACACAACTATTATATTATGAAACTTAATAAGGCTGTTAATCAAGTTGGCTCTTGAGCATTCCTCCAAAATAGTTCTTAGCTTCAGATGCATCTTACCTTTTTAAGAGCTATATAAATTTTTACAGACTTCAATATGGAACAATCTTCATCCACATCAAATTATTGGGACAGCTGCTGTTGTAAAGGAGATTGATTGTTTAACAGCCACTGTGGATGACATCTGTCACTTTGGAGACAGCATTTGTGTCATCAGTCACTTTGGAGACAATACTTTCTGGGTTTGGTGGATGGTTTGATGTCCATTTCTGAGTAAATTGAGATTTAAGATTCCTTGTTTATGGAATTGTATGTTAAAGGGGCATCTCTGCAAGTAGGCAATATAACTCTTATTCTTATGTTTGTGGTTCAGGGTAGGAGAGGGAATCCAGCTCGGCAAGAGATTGAGCTGACAACAGCTTCTAGTGTTGATAATGGCACACATTGGGGCCAGCAGGTATTATATTACCCGAATGATTTTCCTTATCTTTACCTCTTTCATGCATAAATTGTGCTAGTGAAAGGCAGTGCAATTCTAGAAAGCCTGAGTCTCACTGTTTATGATGAACATGAGCTATTTAAATTTTTGCTAATTATGCTTAAGGGAAATTCTAGCTGAACTCAGCAAATGCTGAGTGCATTTTCCCTTTCCAAGAAAAACCAAAGAGGAGGGACCAATGAAGTCTCGAGTGCTTATGTACAGGATGGATTGCCGCCCGCACATAGCAGTCCTCTATGCTTAATGATAGACTCTAAACTATGCCTTGCTAGTGATGGTTGTGTTCAAGTAGGGTAGTTTTCCTACCATTGTATTGATACAAATTTGTTTGTCCAAGCATGATGTGTCCAAGGAACTGGTTTTGTTTGGACATTGATTGTTTTCTTCATCTGTTAGATTTTCCTGCTGGTTAAATTTTACCTCTTTTGGACAGGTTTTTTTCTTGCATCCTTCTGTTCAAGTTAGTGAAGGGAGTGATATCAATATTTCTTTCTCAATGAATGGTTCCAAGGAAAATCATCGTTTAATGGAGGTTGAGTTTGGCTGTGACATCAGACATTCTTCTGGCAAGATGCATCCACTAATCAAGAAGAGGTTCTACATAGAATGAGGAAGGAAATGGAAATTTTGGAAGTTTAACCTTAACAAGGTATACGTTGCAGCTTCTTGAATATGTATTTATTACTGGGATTTACACTCCCCACCCAAGAAGGGATAAAAAAAAATCAAAACAAAAAGAGTTAGGATCCACAATTATCACCCTTCCTATTTTTTTGATCAACCACAATTTATCAACCATTGATTTCTAAATCCAACAATTTTAGATATTATTACTAAATATAACACCTTCATTTTCAACCGTTGGATTTGAATTCAATGACTGATAAATTGCGTAATACTTACACGTGTAAGTGGATTTTGACTCAAACATAAATGGTCTGATAATGATTCCACGATATCTTGTTGCGCTAGTTAGTGATGATATTATTAGCTTATTAAAAACAAGCTCCATGGGCTTTCCTCTTCCGAGCTGATTGTGTCTGGCTGTTTTGGGTTTGGGTATCATGGTCTTTTGATTTAAATCTTGACATACAAGAACAAGTACAGGCAATGAACTGCTTTTCTAACATGAATAGTTTATTTTTCATTCGGAAGCTGCAGACTATGCCAAACTTATCCGTGAATATTATTCTGCGCTAAACTATAAATTAGGACTTAGACCATAAGATTTAGTATCTAACATCAATTGCCCCCCCTCGCAATTTTTCAGTGTCTGCATGCACAACATGACGCATCTATGTTTGGGCTGACTGCCTTTTATGTTCTCCTGAGAGTGCACCTGACTTCCAGACAATTTTGGTTGCAGCATTTGAAATGCTAACATATGTCACCATTTTTAGAACTGTGTTTTACCGTCCTGAAATGTTATCTCCATGTCCATGTACATTCTCCACACGAAGAAAGTATGTATTTATTGTATGGGGAAAAAGGATGTATTGTTGTAATTAACTGCTCTCATTGTGTTCTTTAATCCGAATAGTTTTGCTCTAGAAAAAGGTGTAGCCATTTCTCTTCCTCATGGGGAGATGGGATTGAGTCGATTGACCCCTTTCCAATTAAATGAAATGGCTCTGTTTTTTAACTTCACACATGGGTCTTCAAAAATTTGCCCCTCTTTTTCAAAAGCACGTGCATGCCTTTAATTACGTTGCAAGTAGCTTAAGCAAAGCTGAAAAAATCACAAGAAATTGTCAATTGCCAACTCAGATATTAAAGATCCAATTGCAATCTCAACCAGTTCCCTCTTTGAAGCAATATATTGCTTCTCTCCTTCACCCTAGGCTTTGAACGATCCGCTTCACACATAGATCTATCCAATATTTCTTGAATTTACCTTATATAAAAGATCATGTCGCCTGTCTTAATTTCTTATGTTGTATGATCCTCATAGTTTCTCTCTATTTCCTCATTTTCCTTGGTAAGAAAATGCAGAGGTCGTGGAGCACCAATTCCCGTGACTCTGATGAGTTCTCTGTCAATCTGTCAGAGACTACCACAGCTCTTCCCCTCGCAGCTGCCAGTTACTTGCCAGTGTATACATCCAGATCTGATGCGGAGAAGAAGGGGACTGAATTACCGCATCACAAGTCAACTGCAGAAAAAGCCATTCACCTTATCCCTGTTGTGTTAGTTCTGTGCGGTTTGATTCTTTGGTTTTCTTCTCATCCAGGTAAACCGTGATCAAATAAACGAAGACAAGCATATATATATATATATATATATATATTGTTTTTTCCTTTTTATTTTATATGTAATTTTGGTGATGCAAATTATAGCTTTGATTTCTGACAAGAAGGGAAATGTAAGGCAATTATTTTCAGGCAACATATTCTTCCGACTGTTTTTTCCATTTTATTTTCAATTTGTTCCGATAAAGAAAACTTTATTTATTTATTTATTTTGATTTTGGGTTGCACATCCCATTTCTAAACTCGTCTAATTTTTCATGCAATTCAAATTTAAAGTTCCTCACATTTACTGAAACGATTATTATTGTACCATTTAAGTCTTTGTGAAGAAAACTTTAATTTTTCTCCTTTTTTTTCATTTTTTTTTTCTTTTGGCCTTCGGAAGAAAAGTCTAGTTGATTTTGTGAAATAAAGCATAAAAGCGGTTTTGGAGATTCGGCGTTGGAAAAGAAGGAACCAAAACGAGAAAAATGTTATGAAGATCAATAAGAATGATGTGAGTTGCAACAACTGAAAACGTGGTTCGTCTTTTATTATTGGATATAAGTACAGACTGCTATTGCTTCCAAGCTAAGCATATACCATGTGACGCAAGCCCAAAAAACCATTTTTTTCCTTTTTAATTTGAAGTAACTTGAGAAGTTATTCAAGTTATGGAGAAATTAGAAAGTAATATAGGTTATGATACAAAACATTGGAGTAAGAACCTGGCATGTAAGGCCGATCGGTAATTGGTGTGTGTCCCCAGCCCTATGAGTTGGGTTCAATTCCCTTCCCTTATCCTAAAAAATTGATGTCTGGTACCAAATGGTTTATTGGCCATCCCCATGAGAGACCGTGCCTGGACATCCAAACCTTGAGTTCTAACCTAACAACTATCCCCTTTCCACAATTTCCCCAAGTGTCAAAAGAAAAAAAAAAAAACATTGGAGGATACTAAATAAACATATTAGAGTGAGTAAAAAATCCATTTCATACTCTGTTTTTTGTTATGGTTATTGTCAGGATCTGTAGTACTTTTTTTTTTTGTTTTTTCTTTTGATCAGCGGAATTGTAGTGTTAATGTCGCAAAAAAACTAGCCAAATGAATTTGAATATAGTGTCCTGTTTTGAATTATTCCTTATTGAATGACCTCTCTATCATTTTTCTTTCTTTCTCATTTAAAGGCTCTCCTTATGCAGTTCTATTGTCACTCAAAGTTCTATGTAATCATATTGAAAAGTATTGGAAAATATTCTTAGTTTTGCGGAATAAGCTCCTGAAATATTATACAATGAAAGATTATGAATTTTTATTTCAAAAGGAATTGAGAAACTTTCTAAAAATTACTCTTTGGTTATTTTATTTTATTTTATATATTTGATTGATTTATTTATTTATTTATTTATTTTTCGGAGGAAGAGGTATATATCTAAAAGTAAGTTGAGTCCAGAATTGTGTTTGATTTATGTATTGAATCTTGTCTCTAAAGAATTCATGCCATTGAAACTAAAAATCATGAATATCAATGAAAACTGGATGAGTTTTGTATTATTTTAAAATACTGATATTCAAACTATGATTGCAAGCAGCAAGATACAATTCAAGGGGTGAAACTAGTAATATATATTTTATCCAATTAGTATAACTTTCCATGAAAATTAAAATTCTTTTCAAGATTGGTAGCTTTCTTCTTTTTTTGAACATTGGGAATTTTAAGGGAGGGGAGATCAATTTAGCTGCTGCTATTGTAGCGGAGAGAATTTTAGCATTTGCCAAGAGTTTGATGTAACCAATAAAGCTAAAGCCGTAGGTGCAAAGATTGGTAACTTTTTGGTTTGTAACACTTTTGAGATGGATACATTCAGCTTAAAATCAAGATAAAGAACGGGTAAATTAGGAAAAATTGGAAAAGAAATAAATTTATTTTCTATTTTTCAATTTTAATGATTGTTATATAAATTCTTATTGTGTTACTAATCCCTATACTATAATTGTTATACTATTTTTGTAATTCTTTTGGGTTGTATTCATTTGGATGTGTCACTTTGTGAAAATCTAAAGTCTTGAAGTTTACACTTAAGGAAATATATGTTTTTTTCCAACTATTTAAACAGTCCAGTAACAATTTATTTTTTAAGTAGAGCAATAAGAGATCATAGGTTTAAGTTGTAGATATAAAAATTGTGTATGTAAAGTTCAAAACAAAGGTTATATTCAACTTAAAATCAATCAATAATAAATGAAATAATTCTTTTTATATTTAATCCATATATTTCTTTGTTATATAGATTTTTTCAGTCAATAATCAATATGCGAGTGTAGTAGGGTAGGTAAAGGGATGAAAGAAAAAAATGATATATTATTGTGCAATTCAAGATTGAAATATATATATATATATATGTATATATCTAATTTTCTTAATACATTAATTGTTGTGACAAATATACTCTTAAGATTGTCCCACAAAATATTAGTCTCAAGTACACACAACTTTGGGTCAGAACATCCCTAACCACTCAAAACAAAAATTATTATATTAGAAAAATAGTGCATATTAATATCAATTTTTTAAAAAATATTATAATCCTAACTACAAAAACACCACTTTGATCTAATAAATGTTTTCAAAAATTAATCCTTAAATTTAATGTTTTATTGATATTAATCATAAATATCAATTTTCAAGTTGATTTAACATTTATAATAATTATTTGATTAAAAATTTTATATTTTTTAATATACATTTAACGATGATAAAATTTTTATAATTACTAAATTAGTTATATATATTCAATCAAATTAAAAATAATATCTTTAAATAAAAATAACAAAATTTATAATTTTAAATAAAAAATAATAAAGTTCATATCCTTAAATTAAAAAAATAAAGTTTATCACTTAATTTAAAAATTCAAAAAATTTATATTCTTAAATAAAAAATGACCAAATTT